GCAGTCCACTGCTCCAGGGCAAGGTCTGTTCACTCCAGGACAGGACATTGGGGTGGGGAGGAGCTTGGTGGGGACCTGGATCTGTTCCCACGTGAATATGGAAATATGGAAACCAGCATGCAGTTCACAGGATGTCAGGGCTGAGTTTCCTCCACCACATGTGTATGTGTACACATACTTAACACAGAATATATGGACACATCAACTTCAAGATCACTTTCAGAGTCCTACTCCGAATCAATTTCCATTCTCCATTGAATCATCCTTAAAATTTATATCTTTGTGTCTCTGCTTCAGCACATTCTAGGATTCAGTATTTGAACTCTTAACGCAACTGATATCCCTACCACAGACACTATTTCACATCCACTCCTAAGGCTCATCGAAACAATTTGCTTTCAGTGGGTAAAGCCAGTGATAGAATTTTACTGTCCTCCCTCAGGGTCATATTAGCACCTGTGTCACGTCTCAGGTTTCAGGCATCTTGATCACTTTTATCTTGCACAAGGAATCACTGATAGTATGCTGGCTGGATCAAGGAAACAGGAGGTAGCATCCATCGTGGGTTTTTCAGGGCAGGCTCTTCTGCCACTCTAGGGTTCTATTACCCAGGAGACTGGTATTTCTAACATCAGTGGCAGGTAGGGATGCTTATTGGTAGTCTGCAGCAGTCCCTCCATGGAAAGATCTCAGACCTTTTATGATTTTTTAGGAAGACACTGCTGTCATCTGGAATTAATTCCTCTCCTTTCCCTTATGATTTTATGAATTTTTGTTGTACATTTCTTCATAAAAAATAAACAATTTACAGAGCTGGACGTGATGGCGCATGCCTGTGATCCCAGCACTTGGGAGGCTGAGATCAGAGGATTGTTGAAAGTTTGAGAGCAGCCTGGAGGCCACAAAGCTAAGTACAAGGCCAGCCAGAACTGCACAGCAAGACCCTATCTCAAAAAAGAAAATAAAGACAAAATAATCTCCCTATCAAAAATGGATCTTAACCAATTTGATTTAAAACTGTCTCATTGCTATTTATCTCTCAATAAAATTATGGGGAAAAATTGGGTCTTAGCCTGACATTGGGCCTTAGTGGACACTAAAGTTGATCACAGAACACCAGGTTACCCCAGGACCTGGGCTGCATATCTAGGGCTGGGTGTTATCTGACCACTGAGACCCATGTAGAACACGCATAATTATTATTAAATGAAAACAGGACATAAGTGATCCAGTGAAGGTCACGTGGGCCCATCGAGCTACATGAAGTTCTTGCATGCCCAATGCCTTCTACTCTTGCATAATCACCTTCTATTTCCCCACATGTACCTATGACATCATGACAGGTACCAAATGAGCTTTTAGAAGGAAAAAAAGCCAGTTTACAGATAGCTCTGTGTGTTAAGCTAGCACCACCTGCAATAAGGCGACTTAGCATGATAATCCCTGTCCAGCAGGGAAGAGAAATATTCAGTGGGCAAAAATTCAGCAGTGCATGGCTTATCACATCTTTTCTTGGGAGGAAAAATAAGATGTGATGTGTGACTCCATCCTGATTCCTGGGTTGCAGTCAATGGTCTGGTTGGGAATTCAGGAAATTAGAGGAACCTACCTGGAATATGGTGACAATGGTGTTTTATGGTGATATGGATAGATCTATCTTAATGAGGAAAGGATGGAAAAAAACTATATGTAAAACCTTATCTGTCAAAAAAAAAAAAAAAGGAGGGGGAGTGGGCTGGTGAGATGGCTCCGTAGAATAAGCACTTGCCTGGCAAGCACAAGGGCCTGAGTTCAATCCCTGGTACCGAAGACATTAACAATCAATAATATTAGAGGAACCATTTTATAAATTGTAGTCAACTGTTCTTTTAAGCCATCCCTATCATCCCTATCTTTGCCCGATAGGCTCATGAGCAGAGCGGCCATTTTGGCAGGGATGGAGGATATCCATGTTCTGCAACACGGATTCCCACTCACAAAGCCTGATCTGACTATAATCACCATTGAATGACCAATATGCCAGCAGCAGACAAACAACGACTCCTAAATAGGGCACCATTTGCTAAGATGACCAGTTCTTGGCCTGTTGGCAAATGGATTGTATTGGACAGCATCCATCAAGGAAAGGAGTATGCAGGGGCTACTTGTTCTGGATATAGATTTGTGTTTCTGCACGTAATGCTTCTGCCAAATCTACCATCCTCTGATGGCAAACTGTACTTGCGACTTTATGTTCTGCTCTTAGAAAGTAGTCTTAGTTCCAGAGGTGGAAAGGATTTTAGCAAGATGGAAGTGAAGACTTCCAATGGTCGTTTTGGTCTCCTTAGGATTTTGAGGGAACAATCTAACAAGGGTGTTATGCTATTGGAAGGGGTGATTGACCCAGATTGTCAAGGCAGAATTACATTATTATTCTTCAGTGGAGGAATGAAAAAGTGTACTTGGCATGCAGGAGATCCCAGAGTGCATGCTAATATTTCTGTGTGTTCTTATTGAAGTTATACAGCAACTATAACATTCTAATCCTGGCAGAATGTCCAAGTGTGCAGAAAGATCAGTACTATGGGTATAAGTCACCATACCAAAGAAAGTACCAAGACCTGCTGAGGTGCTTCCTCAATGCCAAGAAGTACAGAATGGATAGAACTCAGTTGTAAATACCAGCTATGACCTCATAATCAGCTACAGAAGTGAAGATTTTAATTGTAATAATTTTTAATATGCTTGCACTCTAGTATAAAATCAATAAACTGATTGCAATGTAAGTCTTGCTCAACCTGTTAAACTGTTCCAGTCATAAAAAGGAGTAAGCATGACCCAAAGAAAACGTCTTTCTATTATGGAGAAGGAATTAGTATATTTGCATTCGAATACAGGACAGTTATAACCATTAGGTATACTTATGAGCTCTTTTTTCTAGCTGGAAACCAGGGTTTCAAGAAATATGTCTGCTTTGAAATTGTCAGGGGGTGACTGTGATCCATAATTATGTCAAGTGAAGTACTACATGTCCAGCTCAATTTGCCCCCACAAATTTCTGGATGTGGAAGACCAAATCTAGGGAGGATTGTTGCCAGAATGTTATAAAAACAGTAACAAAAAGGGAAGGCTTGGTTTTGTTTCTAGAGAGGAGTTCCAGCATTTATGGTCACCTTGGAAATCATCTCCCGGCTTTCAGCACAGACTTTCCAGTTCAGATAATTCAGTCTTCTTGCAGAGACACAATTTGCTCTACTGACAGATTTGTATGGAACACTACAGTGGACTCTAAACTTTCAAGCACGTTTGTTTTGGAAAGTCAGTTTAAGACACACCTTTTGTACCTTTCTACATCTGATTCTGTGGTCAACCATTGCAAGTAAATCCTGTAAATTGTGACATATTTGTATGTTGAACAAAATCTGTTTTTCTAGCAGGTACCCACTTATACAACATTCATGTCACCACAAGTTGTGGTCCATCTTACATCATGATCAGATACAACGGTATGGTTTATTTTTTGGTACAGGCGGTAATGAAATTAGTACAAAATTAGAAGTCATGTCAGTATACACATGAAAAGCAAAATGGTAATATTAAGAAAAGCTTATGTAAATCATAATATTGACTGAATCATGAAAGCAAAACATGTCAAATTTAGACAGATGATATAATTATTTTGATACCGGTAGCTTTTTATCTTGTTCAAATAAGAAAAATAAAAACCTTTATTGTAAAAATAAAATTTTTGCTAATCTCCAAGTTGTGAAAACAAATGAACTTTTCAAAAACACGTTTACATGTCTCTAAATGTGTATACATATGTAACATCAAATTCCAAAAATTTGACTTTAACTTTACATAAAATATAAACTATGTACATAAAGAAAATCAAAATCAAAACTAGTCCAAAAACTCCATCCATTCAAAAAACAATGAATCAAAGGTATGTTTAGAAGGCTATAATTCCCAATAGCAAAAAAACAATGAAAATGACAGAGTAACCCCACTTGGAAGTGAGAAACACATTTCAATTCACCTAGTTTAATTAGAACATAGTATAGTGTTTAAACTCAATGGCTTCCAAAAAAACATATTACAGTAATGTTTTTATAATAAAGAAAACAGATCCACACTTTAGATATGTATATACAAGTGAGTGCCTAAAGAACACAGCAAAGAAACATTCTAGGCTATCTCCATCTGAGAGTATATTTTCTGGAAAATTTATGGAAGAATATGGACATCAAAAATTTCATTAATTTACACATGTGTTTACATGATGAAATTTCTGCAGTAAGCTGAACTATACAGATTTTCACGTGTGACTTCATGTAGTTGATTAAAACTAATCTTTGAATATTTTGCCCACATAGATTATGTACAAAGGTTTCCAAATCAGTATGAGATCGAGGCACATTAGAACTGAACAAAAAAAAATTTTCTAAGTATTTTACTAGTGTAGGATTACTCACCTGTGACTTCAAGACTTGGACGATATTTGTACATAGTAAACCTTCCCACGTTTCATACAAAAGGTTTCTCCCACTATGAGTTCTTTCAGGTCTTTTGTAACATTTCGTGTACTGAATCACTTCCCATACTGCTTGCACACAAAATTTTCTCCACAGCAGGAACTCTTTCATGTATTTGACAATAATTCTGTATAGCAAATTCTTTCCCATATTGGTTACATATATAGGATTTATCGCAGTATGAGATCCTTCATGGATTACACAAGTAGTCTGTGGGCTGCTTTTCCATATTGTTTACATACATAGTGTATCCTCATTGTGGCTTCTTTCATGCACTGTATAATAACTCAGTGTAGTGAACAATTTTCTACTTTTCATATACACATGGTTTATTGCCACTGTGATTTCTTTCATGTATTTTACAGTAACTCCGTGTAGTGAATGCTTTCCCACACTGCTTACATGCATAGGGTTTCTCCCCCGTGTGGCTCCTTTCATGTACTTTACAATAACTCAGATTACGGAATGCTTTTCCACATTTCTCACATGCATACGGTCTCTCCACACTGTGAGTTCGTTCATGTGTTTTACAAACACCCATGACAGTGAATGCTTTCCCACACTGCTTACATACATAAGGTTTCTCCCCAGTGTGGCCTTTTTCATGTATTTTACAATAACCAGGGGTGGTAAATGCCTTCCCACATTTCTCACACACATACGGTTTCTCCCCATTGTGACTCCTTTCATGTGTTTTACAAACACTCATGATAGTGAATGCTTTCCCGCACTGCTTACATACATAGGGTTTCTCCCCAGTGTGACTTTTTTTATGCATTTTACAATAACCCCGTGTGGTGAACGCTTTTCCACAATGCTCACATACATAAGGTTTCTCCCCAGTGTGACTTCTTTCATGTATTTTACAAACACCCAAGGCAGTGAATGCTTTCCCACATTGCTTACATGCATAGGGTTTCTCCCCAGTGTGGCTTCTTTCATGTATTTTACAATAACCCCGGGTGGTAAATCCTTTTCCACATTTCTCACATACATAAGGTTTCTCCCCAGTGTGACTTCTTTCATGTATTTTACAATGACTTGGAGTAGTGAATGCTTTCCCACATTGCTTGCATATGTACAATTTCTCACCTGTGTGGGTTCGTTTATGACTACAAAGCGCAGACTCATTAGCAAATACTTTTCCACACTGATTACATATAGAGGATTTCTCACCAGTGTGACTTCTTTCATGTATTTTACAAGCACTTCCAGTAGTGAATGCTTTTCCACATTGCTTGCATACGTACGCTTTCTCACCTGTGTGGGTCTGTCTATGTCTACAAAGTGTAGACTTAGCAGCAAATACTTTTCCACATTGTTTACATACATAGGGTTTCTCCCCAGTGTGTATTTTTTCATGTATTTTATAGTACATGTGTGTACTAAATGCTTTTCCACATTTCTCACATATATATGGTTTCTCACCAGTGTGGATTCTTTCATGTATTTTACAGTAACTCAGTGTAGTGAATGCTTTCCCACATTGTTGACATGGATAGAGTTTCTCCCCAGTGTGGCTTCTTTCATGTAGTTTACAATAATACTGTGTAGTGAATTCCTTCCCACATTGCTTACACATATAGGCTTTCTTACCTGTATGGGTTTGTTTATGTCTAAGAAATGCAGACTTAATTGCAAACTCTTTGTCACATTGCCTACATACATACAGTTCATTCCCAGTGTGAATTCTTCCATGGTTTTTAATACCACTGGGCGTGCTGGAGCCTTTCACTCTTTGCTTGTATACAAATGTCTCCACTCCAGGCTGAGTTCTTTCCTCAAGACTGTAATAGTTTTTCCCACATTGCTCATATTGATAGGGTTTCTCTCCAGGCTCTGTCCTTGCATGCTTCTGAAATGACTGGAAATCACTGAAGCTTTTTCCAGGCTCACTGCAATTATTTAGATTCTCATCAAATCCCACATACTCATGTGGCTTCAGTCCAGTGTGAGGTAACGTGCCTGTGTTTAACGATAAGTGTCCGATCAGGGGCTTTCTACACGCAAGGCGCTTAGTTGGTTTTAGAACAGCCTGTTGCATGTGCACAGTCTCCTCTGAAGCCCAAAGGAAGACTTCTTCATGTTGATCACAAACTTTGCTTTGACTGCATTTTGCTACCTTTTTATTTCTTTAATGAAAGGAACAAAAATATCAATCATAATAAAAAAGACCTTCAGATCAGTAATTTACCATAACATATTCTGGCTTGAGGCTGCCTAAGAAATTTTGAGAAGGAGCAGGCTGAATGCCCTGGAACACCTATTTCCCAAAGGATCTCACTCACTTGGGAATTTTAAATTGATAAATGTTAGCAAAACACGAGGCATAGTTTCATTTAGGTGAGTGATACATATGTGTACCTCACACTGATCATGTTTGACTCCTTGCAGCTTTCCATCCCCTTCTCTCTTCACCCTGGTCATCTTTTCTAACTCCAACAAATGAGCCTTTCTGTTCTCTACTCTTTCTCCATAATTTTGCTCCCTAATTTTATTTTGCCATCTTAAATAAAAGAAAAAAATCATGATAATTTACTTTCTCTGTCTGACTTAGAACATTTAGCCTTAGGAGACGGAGTCCCATCCACTTATTTTTAGTTCCTAAATGTATATTATTCTTCTTTATGGCTGAATTTATAGCATGCTTTTTGACTGCTGAGAATTAAAGAATCTTAATGATACACTGCTAGTCTCTTCACTTTTTCCTGCGAGAGACCTTCTCATTCATCACTCATTTGGTCAGGGTGAATGGCAGGTTGCCTCCTGCCGGCTCGGATTGCCAGCGCAGAGTGGTGGGAGGATAATAAGGCATCAGCGTGTCCAGCCTATCCCACATTCCCTTTATCCATGCATAATATGATGGGTATGAAGGCCGTTGCCAAATGGTTACGTACTGTGACTTCCGGAGCTTAGCTCCTGTGACTAGCCGTGCATACACTGCTCTGACCATGAGCATGTACGTATCACTAAGACACAATAATTATAATCCTCTCAACAGAGAATTGAGGAAGTATACCTAGATCAGATGCAAATTTCTAGTTTTAGTTCTTCAAACAATTTTCTATTAGTTATCAAAATGTTTGTTTACATTCCTATCAACAATTTATTTAATTTTTTTAATGTATTTAGTACAGGGTCTACAGGGTCTCACTACGTCGATCGGACTCGTGGTGATCCTCCTGTTTTCAGCCTCCCAAATGCTAGCATTAGCATTATGAGATGGAGTCCCATCTACTTATTTTTATTTCCTAAGTGTATATTATTCTTCTTTATGGCCGAATTTATATACTATTCCATCATAAAGAATAATATATTTATATTATAAATTTATAGCATATAAATTCAGCCATGATGCCCAGTCTCAGCTGCCATCTCAGCATGCCCTAAGGGTGGGTGGGGCCGGCATGGCATGCTGGGAATCAAACACTGGTCCTTGTCCCTGCCTAAGCAGGTGCTTTAGTCTACTGAACTATCTGGCCAGCACTCTATCAAATATTTATTAGCATGCCTTCTAAGAACTTTAAATTCCAATTCTTGAGGGTCTTTTCAAAATATCTATGATTACAACACTAGGATTCAGGGGCCAGGGAGATGGCTCAATGCAATAAGCATTTCCCTGGCAAGCACAAGGGCCAGGGTTCAATCCCTGGTTCTGCCAAAAACAAACAAACAAAAAAACTAGGATTAATTTTCATTTTGAATATTGTTTCCAGGTCATCAATTTGTCAGATAATATAGGTCTCACATTCACATGTATGTGTATATTTTCAAGATGGGCTCCTTTCCAAGTACAAAATTTGTTCTTTTACTATATGCCAATACTCAATTACTCAATTCATAAATGCAGTTTCATACTTTTTCACAATCTCAGTTATAATAAATTTTTATACTGATGTAAGAAATAGTGGTCCCTGCTATATAATATTTCTACTTAGTTCCTTGGATTAGAATATTTCTGTATTCAATTGTCGCATAATAAGAGTAACAGCTTGTATGCTCCTATGATGAATTTTTGTGAACTAATATAAATTTGAACACTGCCTCATTTGTATTATTTTTTGCCTGCCTTATTTCTGCTCACTGACCCACTCTTAGGGAATATCAATACTACTTATAAATACTTCACCTTAAGTTCCTTGAACAGTTTTTGTATTCTTCAATTTGCTGGGTGTCCCAAGTCCTTCCTAAATTATAACCACGGAAATATAAAAGTCACCATATCATTATATAGAAATGAGCAGATAGCAGTTCAATTCATAGTATAATGTATATGGGTCTGAAAGACTTTAAAATGTTCACCAATCAGCAAGTACCAGAGCTCTCTCGCTGCACACATGAGAAAATGCCATCCTTACCTACAGCAGTCATATTCATGAATGTTTCCCACATCACTTCTCTGTAGAGCTTCTTCTGGGATGGATTCAGTACAGCCCACTCCTCCAGGGTGAATTTTATAAGCACATCCTCCAGGGTCACTGCCTCCTAAATAATCACATACACATATTCTGACAGAAGGTTGAGACTCACACCCTGAGATCTCTGAACTCCTCTTGGAGAAGCTGAATTGAAGCAAATTCCTTCAAATATTAACTTTATGCCCGGATCACCGAGATTATACATGTATTTTCACACAGAAATTTTGATGATAGATTCCAACTCACTCTTACAGCAATGGCAGAATAGTAGAACTGGTGGCCCTGCAGGGTCACAGAAATTTTACTCATGCACTATTTCTAAAGTAGAGCTCCCAGAGGTTCCTGAAAATCACCGTCCACAAAACACAGGGGCAGATAGACCTCTAACATACACATCATTCATTATAGTGTTTTCACTAGTGTTTTCAAATCAAATTCTTCATATAATTAAGTCTTTCTAAGGGCTGGCCAGATAGCTCAGTGGATTAAAGCACCGCTTAGACAGACACAGGGGCCGAGGTTCGATCCCTGGCCTGTTGTGCTGGCTCTGCCCCAGGGCGCACTGAGGCAGAGACTGAAACTGGGCGTGGTGGGGCACACCTCTAATCCCAGCTCTTGAGAGGCTGGAAACAGGCAGATCACTATGAGTCCAACCTACACAGTGAGACCCTGTAGACTCTGTACTAAATACAAAAAACAAATTAAGTCTTTCTTTCTTGGATGATCTCTCTGGCTACATTTTAAAGTTTGAATCTGGTAATAATATGTAGTAAAATAATTATGCAACTATCAAATTTTATGCATAATGAAAATGTTAGAGCAAGTCTACAAAACATAAAAAGACAGGAAGGGTAGCATATTATTTTATAGATCAGTGACACCAAATGATCACTTTACACTCAGATATAAGAAATTCTGGGAAAAAAATAAAATTAAAAAAAAATTCTGGGAGCACTTAAAGGAAATCAATGAGGGGAAGGATGGAAATACATCGGACACATTAATATTGAAGATGTCACAAGGAAATTTGGTACTAATTACAAAGACCAAATTTCAGCCAAATGCAGTCATACATGCCTATAATCCTAGCCATTTGATGGCCAAGTCAGGGGTCCCTGGGAGCTGGAGGGCACTCGGGTATACAAAGTGAGCTCAAGGCCAGCTTGAAATATAGCAAGACCCTGCTTCATAAAAAAATTAAAAAATAAAATGAGAAACTTAAGTGTATGAAAACCATAGGAAAAAATGAGAATAAAATATTTGCTGTTTACATAACTCAAAAGATTTCATATATATAGTAAAGATCAATGAACACAGATCTAACACATAACTACAAAATATCTGACTCAAGAAAAACACTACATATAAAACAAAGTCCATTATGAAACATCTGAGAGATGTAAATGAAAACAATGCTGACTCCAGAAAATCAATCAATAAGGAATGCTGGAGACGATGGGGGAAAGGGAACACTCATGGGAGCTTAGACTGAAGCAACTATTGTGTAAATCAGGGTAGAGTTTCTTCAAAGAACTCAAGAGTACAAGTTTTATTTGAGCTATTCCCATTCTTGGTATTTTCCCTAAAGAATTAAAAGCATCATATCAAGCAATTAATACACAGTCATATTTTTAGTGGCAGTTTCTAATAGGCAAATTTTCAAAATAACCCAAATGCCTACCCCCCAAAAAATGTATATGCCATTAAGTATAAACTGGAGGCATTTACTGCTAAAAGAATGCCTCTTCAGACCACACTCTTAAGTGAAATAAATCAAACACAAAGGTGTAAGTTTTGCATGTCTTGCTGGTGTGAAAAAGCTGACAGTGTGAATCAGAACCAAACTGTACAAGAGATATGAAATGGGGAGAAATTGTTCACGAGGAAAGGGGAACTAGGGAGTGGGGAGGGGGAAAGGAAGGAAAGGAACAGAAAAAAAGGAAAAAAGAGAGGGGATGAATGGGAGAAAAATAGCAAATCAAGCAATTTGAGGTACAGGTACAAATTCCCTGTGACAAATGTGATCATGTATATGTTTAAATGGCATCAATAAACTTCATAGAGTAAAATGAATACAAGGTCCAAATCATTTTTATTTTTTAAAAAATTATTTATTTATTTGGTACAGGGTCTTGCTACAGCTTCAGTGGTTGGTACGGTGCCAGGGCCAGCATGGCATGCAGTACTGGGGATCAAACCCAAGTCCTTGCACTTTGCAAGCAGGCACTTAGACCACCGAGCTATCTCCCCAACCCCAGGGTCCAAATCTTATTTGAAAAAATAACCAAAGAAACTGAGATGTGGAAGAACATAATTCAAACTGATGCACAAATTAATAACTAACTGATACACTTCATACTCATCTCCTTTACTGAGGACTTCACCAAAATTGACAGACCAGACTGCTTTCTATGTCCAGAGAACACCTTGTACTGTTATTCATGGAGATTAATGTAATGCTTGTCAAATAAACTTGGGAAATCTTGAATCTCTTCACTGATGGAATGATGAGAGAATACTTTTCTTTTGTCCACATGTTACAATTTGTGAAAAAAAGCCTTCCAAAGTATTTCCCTGGGAATTCCTATAACACTGCACATTCCAAGAATGGAAAATAACAACATTATTCCTGGAAAAATCACATATGGTAAACTTAGCAAAGGTTGCCAATCGAAGACAGTTGTTGATAATAATAAAACTAAGGTTTGAGTCAGGAAGTGCATTTGTCAACTGAACACTTCAATCTATCACCTAGGTCCCAAAGATGAAATATTCTCAATACAAGTAGGACATTTATACATTCATCATCATTAAATCTCACTAGTTTTGAGGATAAATTACTCAGATAAAAA